CTTTGTCCTCCCCCCCTCCCCCCCTGCTTTCTTGGCATTTAAAACATTTTCAAAACTATTTCTACCAAGTTGCCATTTAGGCTAGTAAACATGTGGTAGAAAAAAGTCTGAAGCTCTACTGGGTTAGATGGTTCTGATCCAGTGGTGACATGAATCTTTTCCCTTGTTCTGTTGAACACAGTCAGCACACTTAAAGATAAAAACATTCTCGAGTCACTCATGCATTTGAATTGTGGATGAGTTCTGGTCTAGATAATAGCTTAGCTGTTTTTCTTTTCTTCCTTTCTTTTCCTACAGAGGTCGAGAACTCAGTATTACTGCAGTCCAGGCCAAAACAAACGCTATATGATCTACTACTGATTTCCTTTTAAGTTCCTCTTTTTGCTAGGACGGACTTCCTTTTATTTTACTCCAACTTGCATTAATCCCAGTTATAGAAGTTTTTTTTCCCTCTCTCTCTTGCTTCTAACTTCAAACATTTCTCACATAGGAAACAAGTGACTTTCAAAAAAAAAAAAAGATCTACTTATAAAAATAAAGGACATCGTGACTTTTGGAATATGTTTTGGCAGCATGCAATTTCAGAGTTCATTTCCGACCAGGCGGAGCTAGACAGTTGGAGCTGAAATGCCTACGTGACTGCTATGGTTATTGTGAGTGAGATCACCTGTTTGTCCAGTTTCCTTTGGGAATGAGGTAGTCGACACCTAGAGAGGCCATTTAATAATGAGATGCTTCATTTGCCAGAAGCCATATGTTCCCTGAAAGGTGGCTGCCCTTTCTTTGGGTTTCCATGGTAAGAGCTGGGTGTTGACCGATTGCCCAAAGAGATCAGAGCCTGAACATACTTAGACCCAGTATTTTTAGCTCAAGTTCACATTCTGTCCTTTCTCCAGCCGTCGTTACTGTCATTGACTTGCGGAGGAGAAAGGTTGTGCCAGTCTCGCTGATTCTCCGAGCCACCTCGAAGATCCAGCCAGCGGTGAAAATTGTGCTGTGATCTGATCGCTGGCCTCAGGAAACCTTGTAGTAGCTTGGGAATTTTCTAGAAGTCCTTTTCTCCCATCTGTCTTCATCAGCTTCTTTCCTCTTCCAGGGTTTGTAGGCTGGGCTACCAGGACAAGTTGAATCACAAAGTGGGACGTTTTACTGAGATCATAGTTAATTGAAGAAGAAGTACTGTGATTAGTGTGTGAAGAAGAAGTATTGTGGTTAGTGTGAGGGATAGGTTACAGTGGGCATCCTGCCCGATCGCAGTGTCTGTGATTCTGACGGTCCCATGGGCATGTTCTCTTCTTTTTCTTCCTTCTCCTCCTCCCCTCGTTCCTCCTCCTCCTCCTCCTTTTGTGTCATCATCATCATCGTCGTCGTCATCATCATCATCATCATCATTTTATTACAATAGTGAGAAGACTAGGTTCAGAGGTCAGATAATAAATCCCAAAGGGGCAGAGCTAGGAGGGGTGGTAATCAGTTATGCCAACATTAGTTGGCAGTTTTCATCTGACAAATGGAGGTCATACTTATTATTATTACTATTACTATTATTATTATTATTTTTGTCAGTTGCGGGGCTTGAACTCAGGGCCTGGGCACTGTCCTTGAGCTCTTTTTGTTCAAGGCTAATGATCTACCACTTTGAGCCATAGCACTACTTCCAGTTTTCTGGTGGTTAATTGGAGATGAGTCTCATGGACTTTCTTGTCCAAGCTGTCTTTGAACCGCAATCCTCAGATCTCAGCCTCTTGAGCAGTTAGGATTACATGCATGAGCCACCACTACCTGGCAGAGATTATACTTATACTGACCTCACAAAGGTGTTGTGAGCTGTATTGAGAATGTATGAAACTGTAGGACACAATTTGATAGGTTAGAAAAAGAAATCAGTCAATTTTCAGTTATCGTATCATTTTTTTTAAAGAGCCCTTACCTTCTTCGAGTTTCACATAATCCCTGTAAAATGAGATTAAGACAAATATTCTTATTCGACATTTGAGAAAACTTACCTGTGATATGCCCAGTGTCCTAAAACTGACCATTGCTTAACAAAACATAATATAAGCTGTATGTGTAAGTTGCAACTTGCTAGTTAACCACATAAAATTTGTTTTTAAAAAGTGAAACTAATTTTAAAATATTTTACACAACCCACTATAGCAAAAATCTTATTTCAGTGTGTGGCACCAGCTGAGTTTCTGGTGCTCAGTGGCCACACATAGCCAATGACTTCTGTACTGGGCATTGTGGAACAGAGGATTTACTATGTATCCAGAAGGAAGACCTACACATCACACAAATGTGCATACACACAGGTACACATACACACACACACACACACACACACACACACACACACACACACACACACGACACTGACCCTATATTTGAGCAGGTTTGCCTTCTGGGGACAAAAGGATTGCCCTTAAAAAATGCTTTGTCTTTGGATTCGTTCTAGATAGAGCTACTGTGGAACCCATGGAACTATGCTTTGAGTCCTTTGAGAAAAATCCTAAATAATAAAGTTAGATATTTGTGCAATCACTCTGCCATCCATCTTTATTTCCCAAACCTCTTGAAAGCGATCAGCTTCTTAGTCATATGCAAGAGTTAAATAACTGCAGAAAGATCTTACACCCCTAACAGGGTCCAGGAAAATTGTCAACAGAGGCTGAGTGATTTTAGTGAGTGGACAATCTTTTAAAAAAAATTAGTGACAAAAAATATAGAGCTACCTGGGGAATACAATGTCTGTTAGCCTGTTAGCTGAGATTAATGGCAAGATTAATAAATGGGTTGCTTGATGAAAAGGCACAGGAGAACAAAAACCAGTGGAGAGATTGTGGAGGAGGACACATATTAATGGACTGTCAGCCCAAAGAAAGTTCAAGAAACTCTCCTGTGGTAAATGCAGCAGGCTGGCACTTCTAATAAAAGTTGGGGTTTTTCAGGAATTAATTACATCAGCCTTACAGCAAGAATTTGTGGAATTGCAAAATGTAGTGGCACAGGCCAGCACGGGCCGCTGCTGCAAATCAGGAAGCTGCAGGGAAAGAGAGTCATTTTTTTTCATTGATATGTAGGATATTGTAGTAGCATAATAGCCAGTCAGACGCAGGATGAATGATGGGGTCCAGATATTCACTGACTAATGAAACTACACATACTTTGAGTTTGCAGTCACTCCACTTTTCATATGCAAAATTCACTCCTGGATCCGATTTCCTTCTTATCCTGTATACCCGACACAGGAGTTCTAAATAATTTTCAGAGTGATTATATGTGAGTCAAATAGACTCTACCATGATTTATCAAGGTATGTCAAGAGATTACACGGTATTCATTTCTTCCCAGTTGCTGTAATTTCTCTCAAGCCCCCTCCCCGCCCCGCCATGTTCCCAGTTTAGTTGGCTGAAGAACACTCTTTCTGAATTAAAAATTCCTCTTGCTTCTGTCAATAAAGCAGCAGAAAGGAATGCCATGACGAGATAGAGACTGTCTAGGGTTTGTGATCTGGTATCACACCCTAGATACTGTTTCTTATCTCCTTTCATGTCTGCCATGAAGGTAGAGTGAAAATTTTCTCTATGATGTGTTTAAAACCAAAGGTTCCCAGAAAAACCATTAATCTCTGGGGTTTCAGATTTCATAATTAACTATTTAAGATCAGGTCTAAATTTATTCCTACTTGAGCTTGGTAGTGTTGGAGATGTTTAGTAATTGATTTGTGTGCTCGTTTGCTAGGAGTAAGATAAATAAAGGGACAATGAGAGCTTTTGGTGTTTTATTTTCTCCTTTGGGGTCTTATTGTAAATAATTAATTGTGCCTATATCTATCTATCTTTCTTTCTATCTATCTATCTATCTGTCTGTCTGTCTGTCTGTCTGTCTGTCTGTCTGTCTATCTATTTAATTTATTGCCAGTAATGGGGCTTGAACTCAGGGCCTAGGCATCCTCCCTTAGCTATCCTCTGAAAACTGGTGCTCTACCATTTAAGCCATACCTTCCAGCTTTTTGCTGGCTCATTGGGATTGTCTTCAAACCAGGACCCTCAGATCTCAGCCTTCTGAGTAGGTAGGCAGTGAGCCACCAATGTCTGGCCAGATGGGGGAGGCGGGGGAGAGGTCCATACTGTATTTGACTTGTACAAGGATTGTAAATCCTGTAGAGAGCAATTCTTTCAGCTGTGCAAGGATTTTATCACCATCTTCTGCTTGTCACATCCTTTTGAATCAGCCCATCCATCACCCATCACTCTGTGACTTTTAGACCCTCATAATCCACAAGATACTTATCCTTTTGATTAAAACAACTTAATGGCCTTTTCATGAATAATTAATCTGCTGTCTTTTTCCTCTCAGTTTCAGGCTTTTAACTTTAATGTTGAGTTATCCAGCCTGTGTTGCCTTTCAAAGTCTCACTTTTCTTACCCTCTTTTCAAGGTTTACCTCTTCAGAAACTCCATTGTTTGGTGTTCTAAGGTGTTTTCATTTACTTCTTTCTTTTCTTTTCCCTCCCCCCTTCCTTCTTTTCCTCCTTTCTCTTTTAAATCTTCTGCTGTATGGGAAATGAATAACTGTGTAGAGGTCTATGGAGTGAAATGAAAGTCATTTCAGACAAGTATACTCTATTATTCTACAAAATGTTGTGGCTTATAAACACAAGCTAAAACTCCATTGCTTTGTCTTTGGTGCCAGTCCTAAGGCTTGGACTCAGGGTCCGAGTTCTGTCCCTTAGCTTTTTCACTGTAGGCCAACACTCTACCACTTGAGCCACAGCTCCACTTCTGGCCATTTGGTAGTTTATTGGAGATAAGAGGCTTAGAGACCTTACTGCCCAGGCTGGCTTGGAGCATCAGTCCTCAGATCTCAGCCTCCTGAGTAGCTAGGATTCAGGCATGAGTCACCAGCACCCAGCAAGAAACAATTGCATGTGCGTGCATGTGGGCGTGTGTTTGTGTACATGTATTTGTGTATTTCTAATTCTGGATGTTTTCCAACAGTGACAACTTGTACCAAATGACTTCCCAGCTGGAATGCATGACCTGGAATCAGATGAACCTTGGAGCCACCTTAAAGGGGTAAGCACTTTACTTCAACAGTATGTATACCCGTTCAAACAATTTCCAGGTGCTTTCTCACTTGTGGAAGGAGCACAGTACAGAAAAATGGGCCTACCTCTCTGGAGCATTATGATGCTCTTTTGTCTACTTCATGGATTATGTTCAGCATCAAATTTTCAAAAATGTAAAAGGGATTTTTTTTTTGGTCTGGAGCAGGGAAATTGGGATACCGAGCCTTGTCTTGCTGAATGTTTTAGAATTCTTCACAGATGTCGTGTCCATGTAACCTCATTTAACGTTTATGTTTTGCTAGTGCTATCGCAGATGTTAACCATTACATTATCTTTTCAAGAAATGCTTTGCATGTACAAAATCCAGGATCCAAATTTGTATCTGTGTGAGGATGATTTGAACAATCCAAAGCTAGACATGCTCACTCTTGTTGCAAGCGACAGTTTTTGCTCATGCATGATGTATGATCATCGTAGGGAGAAGACAGTTGCTGAACCAGAGTAGAGGCTTTGTATTTGTAAAATGAAGGAAGGATGAAAGGAAGGAAGGAAGGAGGGGAGGAAGGAAGGAAAGAATGAAGGAAGGAATGAAGAAGGAAGGAGGGGAGAGAAGGAGGGAAGAAAGGAGGACAGAAGGAAGAGAGGAAGAAGGGAAGGGAAGAGATGGAAGGAAGGAAAGAATGAAGGAAGGAATGAAGGAAGGAAGGAGGGGAGAGAAGGAGGGAAGGAAGAAGGAAGGAAGGAAGAGCAGGCTTTCAATGGTGAGAGAACTCGCCTTTAGTTTTTCACAAGTCAGAGGAGATGGCAGTTGGATATCATACCCATGGAGTACCAACAATGCACCAGGTGCTTCACTTTATCTTTGTATTAGACTAATGGCATCACTAAACTAAATGAAACCCAGAGTTAAGTCCTTTTGCAAGGCCAAATCCTTTTGCACAGAACATCTGGTATTCCAAGCTCAAATCAGATTCCAGTGCTCAAGCTCTGTCCAGTCTCTGTGAAGCCTTCCACCCACCACTGGTCCCAGTGGGACTGGGGACTTTGTTCAACACTCTTGTCCGCTAGCTTTATGTCTTTGTGTATTTCGTGGCTTCTCATTAGATTCTAGGACCTGGGGGGCTTGTCAGAGCCATGCATGCTCCATTCCCCACCCCCACCTCTTCTTCTCTTCTAGAGTTGCTGCTGGGAGCTCCAGCTCAGTGAAATGGACAGAAGGGCAGAGCAAGTGAGTGGACATGGCCTTGTTAATTAACATCTGAGCATGCAGGAGTTAGGGCTGATGTGGGTAATCAGGGTAGCATTTGGGGGATGGGGCAAATCTATCCCCTCCTCCCCCTGCCTCTTGTTTATTGTGCACATACTGTGGGTCAAGTGGAATTGGTGATGTTTCTCATCCACACATCCCTGGGGAAATTTTTTTTGAAAAAATGGTGCAGCAGGAACACTGCTCAATTCCTTGTGAATGGTTCAAAAACACCAAAGTTGTGGCATTAAACATATTCTGTTTAGATCAGTCAAGACTTTTTATATTTCCCAGGACAGCTTACCTAAATTTGGAGCCAGACTTTCTAAAGACTTCTGATCCTCTTTCTCCCATTTCGAAACATATCCTGGGGAAGTTCTGTAGCTCTTTCTTTTGATTTTATTTTCTCTGCTTAAAGACCAGAATCAGCCCCCATCTTTCTTCCTTTCTTGGCTCAGTCTTTGGATCATTCCTCACTGATCAACAGAGTGGCTTTTCATCCTCCTAGACTTGACTGGTAGATCCCTTCCCCACCGCCCCCCCCCCCCCACCTCCCCCAAGTTTTCTGCTGTTTTATCCAGATCTCTACTTCCTCCCTCTGGATCCAAAAGAAAAAAAAAGCCCTCAGTGCTTGGAATTGTTTTTCACGTGCCATTTCCATCCAAGGGCCTGCTGACAGTTTTAGCATTCTCTCTTTCTACGTGCTCTCAACTTCCTTTCCATTTCTTGGCTTTTGGGTCCCGCCCTTTCCTTCTAGATCCTCTGGCCTCTGCTTAACATTAGTAACTCTCAGATGAAATGCCAGCAACAGACGGGAACATGATTATGAAGGGAATAGTGTGTTTCAATTAAAAATGTTTCTTTTATGTTGGAATACAGGATTGGGTGGTTTTTATTATCTATAAAAATTACAAGTAAGGAATCTTGAAATGCATTCTAATGTGGATGTTCCATAGATAGTTTTTATATCTTTATTTATTTAGTGATATTGGAGTTCGAACTCAGGACCTTGTGCTTACATTAGGCAAGTGCCCTATCACTTGAGCCACGTACTTTCTGGATAGAGTCTCAAGTTTTGTTTTGTTTCGTTTTTTTAATTGTGAAAATACCTTACAGTGGGGTTACAATTACATGAGCAAGATAATGAGTACATTTCTTATCAAGCATTGTTGCCGCCTCCTTTGTTTCCCCTTCCTATCCCTTCTAATCTCCCCCCCGCCCGCCCCCCTATATTCCCCCTTCCCCCCCCCTCTCCTGCCAAAGTTGTAAAGTTTGTTTTTCGGCATAACAACTTGTACATCTCATTGTTGCAGTGGGTCCACCTGTATCCCTATTTAAACGATTTGTTTTTTTCCCTTCCCCTCCACAAATTATACCAACATCAAATACTGTGAAAGCAGGGTTATACCGTGGGGGAGGGACATACAAAGCAACAAAGAAATCATCTTATAAATATGTTAGAAACAATCACATGAAAGAAAAAACATTTGAATACTTATCTTGAGGTTCATTTCACCTAACACCAGCTTATCTGACCTTTTCTGCTTGTCTCAGACACATATTAGTTAGAGTCTCAACTTTAAGCCCAGGATTGGTCATCTAAATGACATCAACTTACTTTTGCTTCTTACATAGCTAGAATTACAGGGGTGTACCACCATGCTCAAGTAATTTAGATACTTTTAAAGGTCTTTGGATAACATGGTATTTGTTATTTACTAGGGCATCAGAATCTGTATTGTCAGGATGAAGCACAAAGTATGAATAATTTGTTCACTTCTGTATTAGGGGCTAAAAACTGCACCAGTTTTCATTGATCTGTCACTTGGTTTGGAAAAAGATTCCCCAAATGAAAATACATTCCTTGAATACAAACTTTATTCAAGGAGCTATCTAAAACAGGTTGATTTTTCCCGATAGCGTGAAAAACCATGGTGACCTGGTGGATCTATAACATGAAAACTGGTGATTCGACTTGTGTTTTAAAGGAAAAAACCAATTTCCATATCACTTGTAAAAATGAAGTATTATTCAGTTTTTTATTTAAAGGTCATGAACTTCAGGCTAAACACCAGTAAATACTCATTCTTGACTTCCTTCACAAAGTATCCTAAGCAATTCCACAGAAACGCTTTTCATTAGGTGTCAGAGAGCAGTGGGGACAGGATTATAAGTAGAATGTGGTAAGCTGAAAGGAAAACATGACGTGGCACGTGTGTGTGTGTGTGTGTGTGTGTGTGTGGGGAGGTTAGTCTTGTCATTCACTCCCTTGCGCCCTTGTCTCCCTTCTTGTGAGACTGCTTTTTTTTCTTTCTCTCCTTCCTTCCTCCCTCCCTTCCTCTTGTTCTCCCTCCCCCCCCCCCCCCACCTTTTCTTGTGTGTGCAAGTCCTAGGACTTGAACTTAGGCTTGGGCACTGTCTCTTGGGCACTGTCCCAAGGCTAGCATTCTACCACTTGAGCCACAGCTCTACTTCTGGCTTTTGCTGGTCAATTAAAGGTAAGAGTGTCATAGACTTTCCTGCCTGGGCTGGCTCTGAACTCTACTCCTCAGGTCTCAGACTCTTGAGTAGCTAGGATTACAGGTGTGAGCCATCGGTGCCTGGCCTGTTGTTTTTTCTTTATTTTTTTGAACTCAGGGCCTGAGAACTATCCTTGAGCTTTTTGCTCAAAACTAGAACTTTACCATTTGACGCACAACCCCAATTCTGATTTTTTTCTTGGGTGGGGGGGGGGGGAGGGGTGTACTTAATTAGAGATAAAAGCTCCATAGACTTTTTTTTGCCCTGGCAGTCTTTGATCTGTGAGCTTCAGATTCCAGCCTTTGGAGTAGTTAGGACTATAGGTATAGTTTAGAATTACCGGTACTGGCTTGTTACTTTTTTTTTTTTTAACCCTTACCTGTCTATTGGGGACCGAGCTACTGGGAGAATCTTATGTTTCAGTATATTTCAACTTAAGTCTGAAAGCTGAAAGTACTTTATCTTTTCCCCCTTCTTTTCTTCCCCTATAAACAAATAAAACTCATTTCTTTTAGAGTGGGCCCCTAGGAGGAAAAAATATTACAGGCATTTAAGCCTTAGCCCACCATTATAAATACTTCTCTGATGTCTTGTGTTGTCTGCCTTTTATTGGTTTAAAAACATTTTCTTGGTTTATTCGTAATGGTTGCTGACTTCTAAGGCTGCTGACAAGGCTCGGCTACCCTGTTGGCCTCTGTTTTGTCTCTTCTGAAGAAAATATCCTGCAAAATGGAGAAACACATCAACCTTGACTGTGGTCCAAGTTATTAAAACAAGGAGGAAGTTACTCTCTGGGGACCAGAGTAGGGGGAGTGGGAAATTGAACACAATGGAAATGTGAAAGGCATGCTGAGCAAAATGAATGTCCCAGGGCTGGTCCAAGAAGTTCACAGACTGTGGGGAACACACAGTATTTGACCTGTGGATGTTCACAAGGAAAACTGAGGAGCCTCACGATGAGTGATGGATGGTGAAGCAAAGCTGTGTGTTTTGGTAGGGCCAAAGTTGTCAAAGCTAGAGAAAATCCCCTCTAGACATAGTCTCATCCTCCACAACCTCTGCCAAAAGAGATAGAGGTTCTGGCTGGGAGCTCCAGAATACAGCCCAACACCTTCCCCTTTCCTCTGATGAACATAAGGTACCCTTCCAGGAGATTGACTTCTTGAGAGCAGATAGCCTGAAATTTAAGTGGCTCCTGGAGCTTGAGCTGCAACACAAAAGTGGAAAGGGGCAGTTCTCAC